GGTGGTAAATTTTGGGTGGGGGGGTTCACAGGGGGGGGGGGGGGGGTCAGACGGTATCAGCAAGTTGCTAAAGGGATTAGATGGACAACAGATGTATGGATGGCTACTAAAGGGCCTGGGCCAGGACATGCCCCTGGACATCCCTAGCACAGCAGCGCTAGATGCAGCAGAGGAAGGCAACGGGCGACAGGAGGTGGCTAGGCTCGTGGGCTGTCTCCTGTTAGCTTCTCCTGTTGCCTCTGCCCAGGGAGAGCAGCAACACGTGTGCTTATATTCATGCATGCCCACTGACTTCAGCCCACTTCTTCTGGTAGACAGGTTTCTTTGCTTCAAAAAACTTTTTTTTTTTTTTTTTCATGAACAGCCTTCTTGTCTGCAGTATAATCAACAACTTCTTGAAGACACTTTGACTTTTCTGCTTCTGCATCAGAAATGTCCAGTCCAAATTCATCTTCCTCAGCCGAGGTGATTTCCACTTGGTCCCAACCATCCCAGACAAGATCTTTCATGCAACGGGAACTGGCTGCGGGATCAGTCTGGCCACACAGCTCCATGACACATTCTTCAGTGCTGCCCGTGGCAAGAAATGGGAAGTCCGCAGTAAATGAAGGGGGGGGGTGAAGCCTCTTTTGTAAGCGGTGGAGCCAGGGCGTGCTCTGAAACTGTCCTGGTGCATCCCAGCAGCAGCCCAGCCTGTGACACTCCCAGTATGGGGCAGCTGCAGCAGTGAGATTTACTGGTGAGGAGCTGGGACAGCTGACGACAGGACAGAACATCAGCAACTTACAGCTGCGCACCTCTGGGCACGCTGGGTCCCTGCATGAATTGTGTGCCCGGGGTGTCAGGAGAAAGGTGGCCTTTGGTGCCTGACTCTGATCTTCTGCTCGGTGAGCTAAAATAATGATCCTGGGAGATCCAGGCAGAGAAGGCAGGGACTGCAGGTAGATGTTTGAATCAGAGGGATGTAGCCTAACCTAGGGGGGGACAGAGACACGCACGTCTTTGCTATGGGTAGGGCCAGGCCACCACTCCAGGAGGTCCTGACCACCTGCTGATTCACGCCAGGCCAGCAAACACACAATAGGTTCAGCCCAGCTAGACACAACTCTCACCGCTGCAGTGGGGATGGATTGCCCAGACAACGGGCAGCTTTGCTGCACAGTGGAGGCGTATTTTAAAGCTTTTTTTTTTTTTACCTTGATGTCTGCTGATCTGTATGAAGTAAAGATCTGTAAGAAAACCATTATGTTTTCATATTTATTTTTCCTTCCCTGATTTCCAGTTAGTCTTTTTTTTTTTTTCTTTTTTGGTCCTCTCTAACTATCAGGCTGACAAACCCAAAGCTGTATTGTATTCTCCATCCTGTATGTCAGGCACCAGGTGATAAAGATCTGTAAACCAAATGCAGAGGCTGTGCAAGCATAATGAAGGGAATAATGTAATTCTGTAGAGCTTTTATTGTCATTCCTCATGAAAGCACTGTACTTCATGACATAAATCTGCGACCGCAACCTTTTCAAACGTGGGCTGCTATAGAGAGTTATTACTTAGGTGAGGTGAGGATATAAGATTGATTTGAACAATGTCATCATACCATGATGACATTAATTCCATTACCAGTATTTATTTTCTAAGCTTTTTTCATATACAGGTCATTTACCATTTTAAACTACCGCAGCAAAAGGAAGGGCTGTGTTCGGCACCACATCCACAGCTGTACTCGGGCTCCCCCTTCTCCCCGGAACCGCACACACCCCCTGCCCGGACTCCACTGCGCGTTTCACGTTATTCTTTCGGATGGGGAATGCTCTACATTTTGCTACAATGAGGTTTTTCTGAGTTAGTAAGGGAAAAGGAAAACGTACCGACATACTTCAAATTGATTGAGCAGATTTTTAGGGACCAGTGCAAGGACCCTTAGCACTCTTCTCCAACTCTGTCAAAGGATTAACGGAGACCGCCACGAGGCTGAGACTTGGTATGATGTTACATTGATTTTTTTTCACAGCTGAGCTATATATTTCCAAACACCAGGGTTTCTAATGCAAATGCTACAGCCTTTCACTGTGGCAACTTAGAGGAGCAATGCTATGATTTTAATAAAGCTGTCAGATTAAGTGACTGCATGGTTACACCATGATATTAATACACGTTCTTAACTGTCAATTAGTTAACTGGTTAATAAAAAGAGCCTAGCTTATAGGATTTTACTAATGAATATAATGCTTTGTTTCTGGGCAAAACATATGCTTTGGATATATAATTAGAAAAAGCCCCCCTCTCTCTCCCCCATCGAGAGAGCATGTGCAGCTGAATAAAGGAGCTCATTATACCTGCGAGGGGTCAAAGTCTGTGGATCTGTAGCTTATGGTATTATGACAGATTACAAAATCACTCTATTATGTTAGTCAATCTGTTTCCAAGCACAAACTAGCAGGGAGCAGGGCACTAGAACCTCCCGAGCAGGGCGCCCGTTGGCTTTCCCTGGAGGTCTTATGATGGGTCAGCTGGCGGTGACACCACCTCTGACAGCTCACATGTCAGACCTTCCCTGCCTGACTTCTGCCTTTGTTAACGCAGAGCCTCTTCACCCACAATCAATCCCTGCTTCAGGTTGTAAAGAGCTCCCAGTAAGAGCTGAAACAAATTTGAAATCCGTGGGTAGCCATCACTTGTGCTTATGAAAGGGAAAAGCAGAGCACTTGTGCTCCAGCTGACCTCTCTCAGGCTCTCACCTTAAAAAAAAAAAATAAAAAAAATAAAAAAAAATTAGAAAGTTTTTAAATGGAGAGGGGAGCAGCGAAACAGCAACAGCTGGGAGGGAAAGCATTGGGTTCAGCTTTAGTGCATTGGTTGGTTTAAAAGGAAAAAAATAATTCAGATGCGGGATAAAGAGATTTCAGACATGATAGAGATCCTAAGAAATATTTAACTTTCCTAATCTTCCAGGGAAATTATTCTGCTGGAAAGTCTTATTCAGTCAACTCAGCATAAAACTCCTTGGTACCAAGGAGAAAGAAAATCCCCTTGTATTCGAGAAGCACAGCAGTAGTCAGCACTGCGGGCACGTATGTTTCTGAAGGATCGCACCTTTCCGAGATCCTACTGAACACAGGTGGTTTCACCACTGCCTTGGGCTGGTTATTTCACCCTCACACCAGTCCGGCAGCTGCACCAGGGCCAGGCGGGCTCCGGCGCTGCCAGCGTGGCACAGAAAGTCCGGGGGTTAACCAGAACCGGCAGGCTGGCTTCGGTAGCCCCCGAGGACCAGAGCTAACGAAACCACATTTGTGCCCCGTGGTCAATCGATTGCGGTACCCAGGAAGATGCAAAGTCTGACCGAAGGTTTCCCTGCAGCTGAGACTCGTACAGGCTCCGTCACCTGGGATTTTGTCACCTCTAACAGATGGTGAGGTCAGGCTGCAGCGTTTCTCTGAGGGGTAATTTCTAGGTAATTTCTTTCCTCTTCTCAGCTGCCCTTACCATGAAACTTGTAGGAACTCATTTCTCTTTGCATCTTCTCCCCACAGTCCAGTTTAATTAAAATTTGCCAAAAGATTCAAAAGCTAGGAGGGTGTAATCTGCATTCACACGCCGTGAACATGCAAGCTTGCTCTCCCCAAGAAGCCAAGCTCAGAAATGTGCTTGCCCTGTTATTCCTTGAGGGCTTTTTTTGTTGAAATACCACGGTGAGAAAACACTTTTAACCATTCCACGTTTACAACAAGCACCGAGTGTCACACAGCAGCAGTAATAGCAGCAGCATTTTCTCTCACGGTTACGTGACCTGCAAAGCCTTGGGCAGACGTGATGGCAGGAACGGGGAAAGAAATGTATATTTAGCTCTCACAGTCCAAGATCACGGAGAACCAAGTGCTCGACTGTGGCAGACAAGCAGGGAATGGCTTGCTATGTCTCTTTTTTATCATGTGATAATAAATCAGACACTGATGGAATAAAGATCCTTTAAAACAGCAGGCTGAGTCAAGACCTGGGTTAGGGCTGGCCCCAAAATGGAGGAGTGCCGCTGTGCAGATGCCCCCATGTTCACCCTGAATTGGAGTCAGCAAGCATTTAAGGAGCTATTCAGATCACCCTGACACAGATGTGGGGCTCCTAGCTGCTGCACCGTGGACCAACCTGACCTACAGGGACCACCGCAGGAGCCTAGGCACCAAATCCACACAACATCCCTCCCAGAGATACCTGCATTTGGGGCCAGGTGCCACCAGAAACATACTGTAGGACAGCCATGGCATCAGGAGAAGGAGCCACTGGAGGATGCAGAGTGGCCAAGAAGAGATTTTTTTTTTTGTAGGATGATGTTGGACACCATCCTGCCCCAGCAAGGAGCTGGGCATGGGGTCTGACACCCAGCAGCTCCTTCTCAGCACCTTCCTGGAGCCACCGGGTTCACTTTCAGAGGTGGCCCTGCAAAAGTGGGTAACTGGGAAGTTCAGCATAGACTCACTTTGGGGCAACTGGCTCTCGGCGGCCCTGCTTGAGCAGGGGGGTTGGACCAGACAACCTCTATAGGTCCCTTCCTACCTCAACCATTCCGTGGTTCTGTGATACTGTGAGGAGGACCAGCGCATATTTGGCATATAGAACAGTACTGAGATGTGGATTCATTTCATAGCTTGCATGAAGGGCTACGATTCTGGAATCAAACCACCGTTGGGGTGATGATAGATGAATCTTCAAAGCCACCCCTGCAGGCTCACATAGCGGCAGCAAGGGAAGGGCTGCTCATGGACATGGCTGAAACGCTGCAAGGAAGCACTGAAGGGAAAAACCAAGGACTTGTGTGAAGAGCGTGCAGAAGGAGCCATTTACGGGACGCAGCGAGGAGTTTCTTCCACCCTGTGGACTCCAGGAGCTGTGCCAGCTGTCCCGTCCTGGGCACACATCTCTGAAGAGGTGGAACACTGCTGGAACACCCAACCCTGAGCAACCCGTACATTGCTCTGAGCTCCCTCTTCCCTTCCACGTGCCTGCCCATTTTGGCAGAGATTTCCTCAGCATTGCGGTTCCCTGGGCTCCCCGGTGGTTCCTGGCCAGCGAGCCCCCGTGGCTGTGGCAAGTGGCAGTGGTTGTTGTGGGGACCAGTAAAACCACCACCGTTAACCTCTCCCAGAGCTTCCTTGGCTTGCTTGGTGTTCACCAAGCGTTCATGCCAACCCTGCTCCTGGTAATAAACTTCACTGCAGCTTCAAAGCTCCCTTGTAATTTTAACATTGCCTTTTTCAGTACCCCTCCAAATTAGCTCAAAAAGCTCAATACAGGGTGAAAAATCAAAGCAGAAAACCTCTTCCTTTCTCTTTGAACCATCAGCTCAGGCGAAGTGGGTAAGAATGTCCCATAATTGAGCTTTGCTGTTATTATAACGAGACGTGAAGGGAACCCCTCCTTTACCGGGGAGCAACCTTCCCTGGCAAACACCAGGAAGCCAAAACCAGAGTATTTGAAGCAAAGTGAGGTTTTGAATAAAACTTCCCAGGTTTTTAGGAAAGGTGTGAGGAGTTTTTTCCTATTAATCATCCCAAAGATCAAC